GGAGGGAAGGAAGAAGGGAAAGAGGGAGGGGCAGAATGCTGGCGGGAAGAGAGGGAAGGACACACAGACAGGAGGATCGGAGACACCAACCAGGAGGATGCCCTTGGGCGCACTTCCCACTCAAAGTGTTACTTTAAGGGCAGCTGCTTCAGGGAATGTGACCTTGACTACCAGGGAGAGGCAACCAGCCAAACAATGACAAGTACATTTTTTAAACCCTCCAAATGAACTAAGTTATTTGGCTGTTTTCAGCACTGACTTCCCTCTCCAAGGTAAAGCATGTTTATTATATTTGGCTGACTCTGGGTTGACCAATGAGCTTTCACCAAAAGGAACTTCTGAAAAATTATCATATACTTTATAGACAGAAGTGTGTTTAAGATTTTATAACTGAATATTATTTCAGAGTTATTTGCTTTTCACTTAAAAAATGCTACAGAACCAACATGTTTATGATGTAAAAAAGATGCAGTAACTATAAATTCTATACATTTTCCCTTCTATTGTATAATGTCCCATAAACCTTGGGCGTTAATAAGGAGTAACCAACATAGGATTTAATTTCTAATAAGGCTATAGTATATGTATGTATACTGTTTATGGCAAGAAAGAAGAACCAATATAGCCAGAGCCACACTGAAGTTCATGAATATGAGCTGGCACCATTTTTTGAGTTGTGAAGGTGGTTACAACGATGAGGGGATGGGTTATGAACTTTTAAAAGTACATGCAGATTGGGGCAGACTGAAAGGGGCCTTCACCCAGATGAAGCAGTTTGGACTAACCCTCTGGCCCTGATAGCACTGTTGAGGAAATTTTAGCAGCCAAATACCAGGATCAGAAAGATGCTTCAGAAAGATGAAACTATGAGAAACATGTAAGGTGTTTTGCAGATTTCAGGGCCACATGGTGGGCAAAGAGATGAGGACCTGAGTGCCATGGACCACACTTCCAATGACTGGGCTGAAATAAGAAGGTGGAAGCAGAAGTGGAAAGCAAAGCTGGAAGCAAGAAGCATTAATAAGGAAGAATTTCTAGGACTTTCTGCCTAGTGACTAATCACTGACTAATATTAGGGGAGTGCAATTATAGAAACAAAGAAAAATAGAAAATGACAGGGAGGAATATAAAATTATTTCCCAGGCAACAGAGAAAATGATGGCATCATTAACAGAAACAAAGGGGTAACTGACATTTCTTGGTGAAAAAGGTTCATTTTTAGCCAGACTGAGGTAAGGCAGGTTAGTCAAGAAGGGATCCACAGGTTGTTGAAATACGAAGTCAGAGCTCTACTTTTGGATCTAAGATGCAGCCAGGGCAGCAGTTTTAATGTGAAAGTTCTCTAGGTGTTGCAAACAGGAAGTTAGGACTGAGAACTACTAAATATTCTGCAGGACCTTCTGTGATCAGGGCGAACGCACACACACTTTGCCTTTGGGATCACAGATACACGAAGTAACTGTAAATAAGGCTCCATTAGTGTTTAATAGGGAAAAAGACAAGAGTTCTAACCCAGTGTTCCTCATCACAGCATTATTCAAAAATAAATATATATATACTGAAAAATATAATACAACATAGTTGAAGAAGAAATAAGAAAATTGTTCAATTATTTTCTTCTTAAAATTTTAAAATTTGAATATAAAAATTAAATGGAATTTGAATTCCATACCATGTCCTTTTAATCACACTTTGCCCCCTACCCCACGCACTAACCCATTCAAACAACTAAAGCCTGCAAGCTCTTCTGGCCTCAGTTTCCTCATCTGGAAGAATGAGTTTATCTGCTTCCCTACTTCCCCTGGTGGTTTGTGCCATCGAGTGAAATGAGATACCATGAGTAAAAATGCTTTGTAAATTACAAAATAGGTTAACCAATGTAAGATATAATTATTATAACTAAGCCTAGGATGCAATTTTTAATTTCTCCAATTATCCCCCACAAGAAAAGCATGACTTTACTTCTTGGCCTGTATATGATCTTTAAATTTTATGTAAGCCTGGCAATATGATCACCATAAATTAATGCATACAGAGAAAACATATGAAATGCTTCTTTTTTACTTTACATAATTTTTAAATCACTATTTTTGTGACTTTTCACTTCATACCTAAAACTCATTTCTGGAGGATTTTCTTAAGTCACCTTAACATTTTTGACGAGTGCTTTTTTCTTCCTTTTCTTTAATAATCATTGATTCATTAGTTTTCATAACAATATGGAAATAATTCAAAAACAATTTTCTAAGGCAAGAAAAATTAGATACAAAACAATTCTACAGCTTGCCAGAGGTACTTAGACACCTACAGAAACTGGAAGCATGTGGAGACTTTATTACTGTTGCTTCCTCATTAGTCCAGGTATTCTTCCTTCCGAAGAAAGGAATCTTAAACACTTATTTAATTATGTGGATTTTTTTTCCCTTTAGAAGTTTATGATCACGCCAAACAACTACAATGCAGCAGGTAGTATTATAAATGGCATCCCCTCTACCTTGGACTCCAATGCTTGCTACATTTTAAAGTGTCTTTTTACAAAATTAAGCATAATTTTGCATTACTCTTCATTAAATCTGAAAAGCTCAGAAAGTAGAAACTCGTTTATATATACTTTGTTTAAAAAAAAATCTCAAAGTTGATTTCTATTTTTTAAGTTAGGCTATACCTAGTGCTAACTAGCCTATCAGTAAACAAAGTCACTGATGACGATTTCAAAACATTATATGAAACCAAACCAACTTCAATTTTACCTTACCCTTGAAGGCCCACGTGGGAGGTCACGTAAACCTGTGAGGTCATAGTATAGTCAGCAACCACAATGACTCATCAGAGATTAGTCATCCAGCCTCCCAACCAAAAACAGTAAATATCTCATGCCAATAGCTCAATATTACTGCGCTTCCCAGGGTAAAAACCACTTAAAGTTTATCATCTTGTCAGTATCTTTACACTACTAAACTCAAAGGGTTGCCAGAGAATTATGAGCAACATTTGCAAAATACTCCATCAATTCTGAAGTATATAAGTGCTAACTCTTGCTAAGTACTAACTCTGGACAAAAGACAATATACTTTCAGAATTATTAGAATTTCTGTACAAATTAAATCTAAAAGAGCATCCTTGGGCACAACTAAAATCCTCTGTACCATAAAGACATATAATTAAAAACATCTGAAAACAAACAAAAATTTAAATGACAGAGAAATAAGGCTGACAAAATAATTAAATCAAAGAGAAGGTAGTAGTAAATGTTGCCTAAAGTTAATAATTACTTTGGTAATTTTGGAAAATCTATGCTCATCTCATAGAAAGCACTGAAGCTGGAAACAACAAATGAAACGGAGTTCACTACATAAAACAATGTCTAGCTTCCACTAACTGCTTCCAACCTATTTACTGCTGCAATAGCTGCCACCAAAGTGAGTGACATTAAGCAACATCCAGAAAGACTATGAAAACAAACTCTGCTGAATGTCCTAACAGTCATGGAAAAATATTTAGATCATCTCCAAATTAGGCATGTATAAACTGCAAAAATGGTCCTATCTAAATACAGATGATCAAAATGATCATCCCTCTACCCCCAAAAACAGTACTTTAAAACGTTAAAAATATATAGAGAGAAATGAAAATATGTTACAATTTCTAAGAGCTTAGAAAGAACACTAAGGACAGGTCTCCCTCCTGAAAACAAGATTTAAACACCAAAACACATTCAGTGAACATTTATTAAATCACTATTTCTAATGCTAACACGGGGCTGGGGTGGTGAGAATGATGTCAGCGTTCAGCAAAGTCAAAGACAACTCTTAGTCCAATAATGCCAATAAGTTTGTTACAAATCCTGAGGGTCTTTGCACGCGAAACCTTGGCAATCTGAAAACATAACTGGTCTCTCCGGCGCTGCAGTATATTCAGATGACCCGCAGCGAGTGAGCAGCCAGCAGACACCCTTGTTCTTTCCGAACAATGACCTGAATAACGAATCACTATAAAAAGAACAGATGACACATTCAATTCATCTGTTCCCTCTCGAATATGCAAACGTCTGACATGCCAGAGACAGGGGGCCGTGAGTTTACCGGGACAGTGTGGTCGCAGAGCCATCAGAATGTCTGGAAAGGAGTCACTGAGGAGAAAGGAGTCGGTCTGAGAGCCGGAGTGGGGGAGGGCTTGTTCAGGGAGGCCGCGGAGGACGGAGTGTGTCCCGGAGGCAGGGGCGGCCGGGAAGCCGCGCGGTCCCGGGGAGGAGGTTCGGGGATGAGCGGACCGCATCCCGGGGCTTTTGTGGACGCCCCTCCCCGGCTTTAGGCGCATGTCCGCTTCAAAGATCTCTCCCTAGCGAGGAGCGGAGGGAACTGGACGGTGGGTGCCACGGCCGGTCGCTCCCCAAATGTTTCATCCACCCAGAACTTTAGGCAGCCCGAGGGGCGGAGGGCGGAGGGAGGGAGGACGGACAGACAGGCCGGCTGACTCCCGCCCGCCTCGCCAAGATCTCCCCCTCCGGGGAAGCGCAGGGTGGGCGCGCGGTGGGGGAGGGGGCCTCTCCCGTTCCAAGCGCGGACACTTACGAGGACGCGCTGGGCACGAAGAAATCCACAGCGAAGCCGAAGTAACTGCCCTCGGGGCCGGAGTACTCGGCGGGACTGTCCACGTCGAGGTTGAAGGCGCCGCAGAGCGGCAGCAGGACCAGGGGCAGGAAGAGCAGGAGGCGGCGGGGGCGCAGGCAGAGCCGCCGCCGCGGTGGAGAAGCCATCGCTGAAGCGCGCGCAGGGCACCGAGCCCG